TACATTAGCATAAAGTTAGATCTAGAGCCTACACTGGCATTCTTTTTTGTTAATTTTTTTTCTTAGTTGTCAATGGACCTTTGTTTTACTCATTTATATGTGGTGCTGAGAATCAAACCCAGTGCCTCGCCAGCACTCTACCACTGCCCACAACCCCAGCCCCTCATTGGCATTCTTTTATTCCCTTAGAACCTGAGCTATTCCTCGTTTTGCTTTTCTAAGAAAAATAGGAGGAAAAAATGAATATATTTTTGTGCCACTAACAGCTCCATGTCTTAAATTCCTAAAGATGTTTAACCTTGGTTTCCATCAGCCTTGGTTTTCCTTAGTAACATCCTCTGTCTATACACCTTCTTCTTATTTATAGCACTCAAGAGTCAATTTCTTTCAATATGTACATTAGAAATTTAACAACATCCTGCCAAGAGAACTCACACTCTTAAAATTTCTCTCCACCTCAACAGATGTTCTCTGCAAACCTTACCAGCRGACCTATTGAGGAAATGTGGTATCCAACACGTAATTTTGACTAATAATAAATTTCCCCAAAACAAAGTCAGTGAAAAAGGGGAAAAAAAAAGAAATGAGACTGCTGGCTTAGAAACATTATCCWGCCAGGAGTGGTGGCACACACCTGCAATCCCAGTTATTCAGGAGGCTGAAGCAGGAGGATCGCCAAGTTTGAGGCTTAACCTCAGCAACTTAGTGAGACTCTTTTTCAAATTTTAATAAATAATAAATAAATAAAAAGGTCCGGGGATATAATTCAGTGATGAAGTGCCCCTGAGTTCAATCCCCAGTACCTCAAAAAGGCAAGAAAAGAATAAAGAAAATATATCCTCTGTGCTTCATAGGATACCTGTGCTATCTACATAATAGCATTGCCTACARTGATTTTAGGTAGGGTGGTGGGAAACGGACTTAACGTGTAAAGAATGATGAAAATAAGATTAGGGGAAGGAAAAAAAGTAACCAGTGTAATTTAAAGGTGTGTTGTTATCTTGAGATGAGAAGGGATGACCCTAGATATTTGAGGAAAGGGACCTATAGTTAGGGGAGAAGATAATGGCAGTGTGGGCACTCCTTTTCTGGATTTTCCGTTAACTACTGTGGCCTCAGGAACTGGCTTAATGACTTTTCCAGGATTTGKTCTGGCACTTTATCAGTTCACTATGACAAGAACATGAGCCAGGAAAGCCTGAAAAATTGCTGCAGAAAACATGCCCTTCTGCCAGGCTGCTGTGTGCAGCTCTGACCATGGGTGCCGAGCCTTTCAGGGTCACRCTGTAGCTAGAGGACAATTCCTAAAGGTCAAATGAATAAAAAACAGTCAAGGAGTCTGAGGGAAAGGAAGGGGTGTCTGGACAGAGGCATGTTTTTTTCCCTTTGCTCGTGTTGGCTGCTGTAAAATGCTCAGTTAAACCTAATTGAATTTGACAATAATAAATTACATATTGAAACTGTARAGTTCACCTAAGGAATAGCAATGAAAACAGTGAAGACACCAGAAGCCAGAGTTCAGGAAATGTCATATTCACATAGAAATGCTTTAAATTTTTCTCAGAGCTTTGTTCATTCTCTCTCTCTGTCTTCCAGAAAAGCTCCAGACCACCCARTGCACAGAGTCCTTTCTGGAAACTATACATAAAATCATCACTTTAGTTCAGCTTTTGCCCCTGTTGTCATACTACACCTTTAAGCCTGTAATTAAAGAAGCAAATGAACTTTCCAAAAAAAAAAAAAAGAGCAAAATAGATAAACTCATCCCTCTCACTTGTCCTCGGGAGTTGGTCATGCCCTAGTGGAGGGGGTCTGTAAAAGTTCCAAAGTTTTAAGAACAGTTAAATGTAAAAGGAGCATCTAGCACTTGAATGCCTTGTAAAAATACAGTTTCTGCCACATGACTTCTCCACAGGCCAGGGGAAGCCAAGTTTAAAGAAATGTCTCCGTGTCTACCTCTCATCCAGAGCTTTGTGCACTCTACCACCTAGACCCTGTCACTGTGCCTGTGCCCCAAACCTTGCAAAATGAGCCATGACTGAATCTTTACTATAGAAGATACCACAGGAAAAARAAATTTCTTAAATTTCTTCAGGAACAGTTAAGTACAAAACAAGATAGGAAGTCCTTAATCTTTCTTTATAAGTTGGCTGGGGATCCAGGGGTGCAGCTCATTTGTCTAGCATGTGCAAGGCTCTGGGTTCCATCCTAGCTCTGGGATTAAAAAAGCTGATTGGGCATAAGCATATTGACTGGGCACAAGCAGATGTCAGCTTAGTGGTGCTGGCATGGAAGGCCACTGTTTTGTTCTGATGGGACCTCATCCTCTTCTTTCTCAAGGGTTCTTGGTCTAATTAGATTTCAGGGAGACAGAGCCTTGGCAGAAGGTTGAAGGGAGCAGCTAGCCTGCAGTGTAAGAGCAGTGCTCAAACTAAATTGGGAAGTTTAACTGGGCCCTTCTCTGGTTTCAATGAAATACTTTCACAGTGTATGGTAGCAATGTCTGTTTCTAAGCTTTTGAAAACCATTTTTCTTTTTCCTTAATTGTAGTTCCCTGGTTGTTTTTATATTATGAGCTACTTGTAGAAAAATACAGGAAACATAATTACAATACAAAGCTCCCTTTCCCAAGCCTACTGAGATCATTTGAAGCCAAACTGGGTTTTAGGGTTTTGCTAACTATAAGTTCACAGCCATGAATTGCATCCTATGCAGTGCTGGTTGATTTACAGCCAGTGTTATGTGATTAAACAATAAGCATGTTTCTCTGAGCTGTGTAGCTGCTATAGGATGGAGGGAGGGGAGGGACTGGCCCTGTTGGTTGCTTCACGACTGCACACTGCACAGCTTCCTCTGGGGAAAAAGAATGAATWTCTTTGTGTGGCTCTTATAGTAAAAGAGAAGCACTGTATAAGTATATAYATACACATTTATTTAGGGGAAGGAAGGAGAAATAAATTACTTGGTTTGTTTTTCCACTTACATTGGTAGCTCATGTAGCACTGTGTTAAATTGCTAATTACTAATTTTTGTATCCTACCTTTCCTGAGGAATCTGTATATAGGCCAGCAAGGGGGAAAAAAAAAAAAACTTGTTAACACTCTCGGGAGGAAATGGGTACTTCAGTGTATTGTGAAATGCAAAGCCTTTGGGAGTTTGATTTATTCAAGCCTAAAACACAGTGATGGATGATTGGGAGTGAGATGGCTAAATGTCCTCTGCTAGAGCATGGTTTCAGACATGCTTCCATTRGAGATGGCTGAGCAGAGAAGGTGAGCACCCAGTGGGCAGTGCCAATAGGCCCCACCCCAGCATAAATCTAGAACAAAGTCCCCATGCCTGCCAAGTTCAGGGGAATCTGAAGCAAGTAAGCAGGAAAGGCTTCCAACTGCAGCTTGGTTATCTGTTACTTTCACTTGATGTAACTGGTTTTAGACAGTTTCGTTCTGTGTGCATCTTGAGTATTGCTCACCTTAAAAATTGCCTCTTTTCATATCACCTGCATGTTCTGCTGCCTATTTGAAGATTCATATATTCTGTATTATTTGATGAAAACATAAGAGTATGAAAGAGCTCAGTGTTCATCTCTTCTAAAAATGATGTAGCTCAGAGTCTTTGTTGTCTGATTTTTCCTTTCTTCCTTCATTCACCCTTCCTTTCCTTTCCTCCTTTCCTTCTTCTTGCACCTCATCTTGAAATTCTCTTCATAATCTTCAACTAAATCAGTCTTCAGAGACTTGTAATAAACAAATTGGTAAGAGAGGGYTGAAATGCAGGATTAATTTCTTCTCTACCCCTTTCCTTTTACCAGTCTTCTTTCCAAGGAAGACTCTTAAATGGGTGGAAATGAACTTCCCTTGTTCCCCTAGAACTCTCGATGAAATCCTGGCGTGCTTGTGTTTCCCTCTCTCTCTCTAAGGTAGAAGCTGAGCAGGCAGATCAGGAGCCACTGGCCTCCTATTAAAATATATTTTGATAAGGTCCTCTTGGTTGGGATGAGAAACTCTAGTATCAAGCACATGGCAGCCCCCGCCTCTTGTGTAGAGCTGAAGGTTCTTTGAAAAGTTAGCTAGATCTTCCACCGAGTTGTTTGGGAGCATTGGGAGAAAAGGGAAGCTRATGGAAAGGACCGCAGCTAAGGAAGCTTCAGGGCCTCGGAAAGCAATGTTTTCAGACTGCTGGTTGCAACTAGTTAGTGGGTATGAAATGCAGTGGATCGAGATCAGCATTTTCTAGGGAGTAGAATAAAACAGAATAGTAGAATAGTAGACCTAGTGCCCCTGGATGGTAAGGGTAAATATTGCTTCRTAAAACTTCAGTTTCGGTTTATAAACATGTGGGTGTGCTGCAGGCAACATGAGCTGTCTTTACTGTGGCCAGAAAATCCCGAGCTGCCGCCTGAGAAGAATTGCTCCAGGCTGCCGGCTGGGAATCGACACTCAACGGGTCCATTAAAGAGGAGCGCGCTGCTTTCTGCCGCCCAGAACCTGGTCCCCGGACCTTGCGCCTCTACACGAGGAGTCCCGCCCCCGCGTGGCTGGTGGCTTTGGGTGGAAAGAGAGCACCCGAGGTCGGGCGCTCCATGCCCGCGCCACCACCCAAGCCCAGCGTCCCAGAGGGGCGGGGAGGGGGCTCGGGATGATTTACTCCTCCTCTTGTCTGAAAAGTACAGTAATTCGAAACAGTTCTCACAGTAGCGTCCCTGACAACTTAATGTTTAAAAAAAAAAAAAAGCCATTAAGAGTCGTTGGGGCGAAGGGGGTGGGCCGGAGGTGGCTGGAGCGAGCTGGGGCTGATCGCTGTCAGGGACCTAGCTGGCTTGAGGGATTTACCGCACCCGAGAGCCGCAAAGGAAGGCGCCTGGAGGGGACCCTAAGAAGGGACAGGGGGAGCCTTGTGCGCCGGGAGGGAGCGCGCGGGCCAACGGCAGTGCGAGACGATGGGTGTCCGCGCCTCGAGACCCACGCACGCCCGCCCGCTTTGTCCATCTCTTCCCCTAGGACTTTCTGCAAGGAGACTGCACCAAAGCGAAACAGAAGCTGAACTGGAAGCCTCGGGTCGCTTTTGATGTAAGTGTCGCCTTCATGGTGCAGAATCCTCCGAGTCGCCGGCTGCGGGGCAGGTCGGCCGGGGCTTGGGGCCGCAGCTCTGGGTGAGGCCCGCCCGGCGTCTGCGGTGCCCAGGGCGGGGAGGCGGGGAGGGCCGGGCTGGGGAGGAGGGAGGGCTGGGCCTGGCGGAGGCGGCCCGGGGCRGCGGGCGGGGTGCCCGAGGCCTCTCTGGGGCAGCCACCCGGGGTGAGGGTGTCACCCGGAGAGAGTGCCAGAAGCTCCTCCCTCACCGCCCACCCTGTGTCTCCCGTGGCAGGAGCTGGTGAGGGAGATGGTGCACGCCGACGTGGAGCTCATGAGGACCAACCCCAACGCCTGAGCGCGGCCTCAGAGCCCGGCGCCCTCCGACCTGTCGTCCCTCTTGGCGCCGGCTGGTGCGGGGTTACAGGCGGAGACACGCGCTGGGATGTACCCGGGAGGGGCAGGCAAATCCAGTCGGTACCCTGAGACCCTCGCCGCCACTGCCTTGTCCCCGCTGGCGGGAGCTAGGGCCGCCAGGTTTGTAGCAACCGGGACGTGACACTCCGGGATTTGGCCGCTTTGCTTTTGTCGAAGCCTCCTCTGAATGGTTTTGTGAAATCAAGATGTTTTAATCACATATTCACATATTTACTTGAAATTATGTCACTTAGACAACTTAAATTCTGGGGCCTTCAAATTGTTTTTTTCTTATTAAATATGATCTTTTTATGAACTAACATTAACAGAGTCACTATGTTTTTCCAAAGTTATAAAAAACAGTTATAAGGGCCCCAAACAAAAATGCCAAAACCCATGCCTTGGAATAAAATGTTTCCCCCAGGCTTTGCTCCCTTCAAGCCAGGGCTCCGAAGACCCTGTAGGCTTCCATCGAGTCCCCTCGATGCCTGAGACGTTCCTTTCCCTTCTTGGTAACAATGTTACTCTGGAAACTGATTTCCAGTAGAAGTGAGGCATTCACACCCTCTCTGGTCTCTGCTGACTATAATTAGAAACCACTGGGCTTCCACCATCTCAAAAGAAAGCTTGAGAAATGGGGTTACAAGAAGAAACTTGAAGGTAAGTAAATATTGTTGCAGCATTCCGTGCCCCTGGGTTACCCAGAGGTCTTCGCTCATTCCTTTCCTTGGGGTCTAGAATCTTTCACACAATGCTTATTTACAACCTCTTCTCATCAGTACTAGATCACTTTTTAAACTGAATTTTGGTTTATTCATTCAACCCACTTATATTGTGCCTAATATGTGTCARACATTGTGCCACACACTTGAACTACGTCAGTGTTAATTAGAATTTATAATAAAGACATTTAAGGCCCAGCCTCAGATCACTGGATCCAGTTTCACTGAGTGCATCATTTAGGTGTCCTGGGTGTGACCACAGGCAAATGCTCCTGAACTATGTATGTACAGTGTACAGCTACAAGTAGGTTGACAGAAATATGTACAGAATACCTCCAGGCAGCAAGCAAAGAGTTGTGTACAGGTGTATACCCCCGCATGAAATACAGTAATTTGCCCTAGAACAAATTAGGTCAGGACTCTTCCCCCCTACACACTTCTCTTCCAAGCAAAATAATATAAAACTTTACAGCAAATGGAATTCCAGCCTTTGCACATGCGTGTGTGAGTATGCGTGAACTATTTCTGAATGTCTTCTCAGGCAGGTTTATGATCTGGGGGAGGATCAGGGCTCCAACGGCTGGTGTAGGAGAGAGGGCTCTTTGTGTGGCTGCCCCAGTCCCTGTGAAAGCATGCTGGCCTGGGCGGCCTCAGCTTCCATGGAGCAGAACTAGGGCAGCCTGAGCTGGCCCACCCGGTTCTCAGAAGCTGCCCCAGGAGGAGACTTCTCCCARCTCCCAAGCTGGATGCTGCTAATTGGAAGCAGATGGTCCCTCAGAGACCGAGCCTCCAGGACTAGGTGGGCTGGTAAGCACACACAAACATATACACACTCACAAATGGATACTTACACACACTGTTGCACAAAAGCATACACTGTCACACAYAAAACACATCCATTCACAAATATACTCACCAACATAACATCTTACACACTGTCACACAAACACTTGCAAACACAACTCAAAAACCTACTGTCACAAACACAATTATATACATACAAATCTCAGAAATAATCACTCTCCTCTTTGCCTTGACCCTGACAGGCACCTCTTCTCTGACCACTTTAGCCCTTCATCTCACACCCAGAAGAGAATATTTCAGGCGACTTCAGGCTGACAGTAACCCCATTTAATACAATGTTTTGTGGCTTTTTAGCCCAAAGCCATCATAAGCTGGTCAGGGAGGAGTAGGAGAGATTCTAGGCAGGAGTTTAATACAACTCCAGTGCAGCCATTGTTAAATCATACTTCTCAACATTGACTGGAGCATCAGTTTTTAAAGGAACAAGCTATTGTTAATTGCAACCTTCTCATTCTTTCTYACCCCTCAGTTGCTGGCAGGGTGGAGGGGGGTTCATTTGTTCTCCTGATGGGATGTATGTTTAAAAGGAGAAAAAAAGAACAGATTTGCTTCTGTATTTTTCTTTCCTGTGGCCATCCTTCAAGACAATCCATATTAAAGGGATTCTTAGATCTTAAATCTCAATTTCATTTCAATGTATTTTCTTTTGTCCTGTAAGCATTCTCTTTTTCCTGATTTGTAAATTTGGGCTGTTAATTTTAAATATTATAAAACATCTCCCACCATGATTTTTTGGGGGGTGGGTAAAAACTAAGTGTTAAACTTTCAGTATGCCCAACTATTATGGCAAAGCAGTCAAACCCATATTTGTTCATTAGAGGAAAGACAAGTATAGATACTTGGGCTGCCCAGTGGCCTCACTTTCCAACTGACCTGCCTGCCAGCCCCAGTTGTGGGCTTTATCTGCCTGCTCTTGAAGGAATTATGAGCCAGCAAGTGAGCTAGGCCCCACCATAATAAACCTGTCACACCTCTGCAGCTGTGTAGGGGCCCAGGGCTGGCTGTGGGGCTGTATCACCTTAAGGAAAGTGCTAAAGTGCTCCACAGATAATGCTCTGCACAAGATGGCTCCTTAGGAAGCCAGATTGCCTGTCTGAATTGTGTGCCAGGTAAGGGGCAGATCCAGGGCTGTGAACAGATAGAAATCGTTTCAGGCTTCTTTTATTCCCTTTTAATGGCCTTGCCAACACCAACCACCAAACCCCATATCCCTGGCAGCCAAGAAGTTGGTGGGCTGCTGGTGAATACTACTTTTTCTATGCTATTAAAACTAGGAGCAAGAGGCAACATTTAAAAGTTTTTATTTTAAAATAATAACCTTGGGGTTGGTGGTGTAGCTCAGGGGTAGAGCATTTGCCTAACCTAGAATGCATTAGGCCCCAGATTCATCCCCAGCAACTAAACAAACAAGTGCATCACTTATAAACAACTTTCTAAGCCCTTCCCYCAAAACACCTCAAAGCAAAAGGTATTTGTATTTGGCATTCTGTTTTAAAGAGTATCCCAGAGAATCCAATTCATACATGGAATATTTTCCGATCAATCCTGGCACTGTATGTAGCCTTAATTACTCAGAGGATGTCATGAGTAGGGGAGCTCCCATGCGGGTGTCACACAAAGATTGTGTGTGTGTGTGTGTCAGAAAGTCCCAGCATGCCATCTGCACCTCCCCAAACACTGGGATATTTCACAATTGGGGGTACTGAGAATTTTCACAAACAGCAGCGGACAACTGGGACACAAGGCAGTTCTGAGAGGTGGCTCACACCCTACAGTCCTGGCTTCCCATGGTTCTCAGTATCCTTTGAAAACACAGAGCCTGAGTCTTTTTTGGAAGTAGGATGAGACACTGCTGCCCTGTGCCCAGCAGTCCCTTGCTCCCTCACCCTGTGTCCTGTCCCCGCACATAACCTGGGGTTGGTGGAACACATTTTCAGGTAGCTTGCCATTGGGGATAAGGCCTGCTACTGGACCACCACCGTTTCGGTGACCCTGGCCTTCGAGGCTGCCCAGCAATCTGCAGAGTTCCATGTAGTGGGCTTCTCCTGCGACTCTCACCGGAAGTGACCAGAACCCCCAGAGATCTTCCCAAGGTCCTAGTTAAGAAAGAATATGATGGCAGGGCCCCCCACCACATCCTCAAACGAGTCCTGAGCAAGAATGACTGTTGGGGGCCCAAGATCGCGGCCTGACCTCCGGCCCCACCGCCCACTCCCAGGTTCCCGCCCTTCCTCCAGGGTCAGGGTCACACACAGCAGACGCCCAAGTTTATGCTGCCCCTTTGATCTCTGAATTTTGGGGCCAAGGTGCCCGCCTGGGTGCGCTGCTGAGGTGGCTTCGAAGATCCCCGACGGCCGATGCGGAGGCCTGGGCCAGCTCACTAGCACCTCGACCTTCTGCGAGCCTCTAAATCTCTGGGTTTCCAAGCTTCGGCCTCGAAGGAGAGGCTAAATGGGCCCGCTGACCGCCTGGGACCCGGAGGCGCCGCGCGTGCGCATGCGCAGGCCGGGAGTCCCTTAACTCAGGCCCCAGCGGGCTCGGACCCTGCACGTGTATAGTGGCCTGCAGCCTCGCGCTTCCCAACTGGGGGGGGGGGGGTGTCTCCAGAGCAGAGGTGAGGTGAGAAAGCATTGTCATTCATAAAAAGAAAACCCTCACATCTGTGGCCCTGGGCTCACTGGTGCGCTGCGCGGCAGCCTTCAGGCCAACAGCACGAGGGCAAGGGAGCTGGTGAACAAGGGAAGGCAACAAATTGGGGCTCCTCGGACTCCCGATGCTTCGGGGCGGCACTGGGTCCCTGCGGGCCTGAGAAGAAGCTGCACAGCCCGAAGGCCGGGCAGGAGYGACGGGCCGCGGGCGAGAGAATGTATATTTGGAAGGGGTCAGGACCTCGGCTGGAGTCTGGCTTTTTATGGCGAGGAAACTGCCTGGGAAGGGCCCTCTGGCGAAGCCTTCCTGTTGTGCCTCTTTGCCCAGCAGCGCCCGGCGCGGGAAGCGCGCGGCTGCACCCGGGAGAGGATGGCCTTTTCTCCTCGGCTCTGAGGACACGACTCCCGGTCGGTCGGGGCTGCCGGGGAGGCCTTCCCTGGAGCCAGCGGACAAATGCTGGAGGAACATGGCACATTATTGTTTTGGCACCAAACACACTGAAAGTCCTGCCCTGCACCTCCCGGATAGTCTATTGACGCAAAGCGGGGCGGGGGGCGGGGGCTAAGGTGCGCGCAGAGACCCGGGACCACCGGTGATCAGGGACACCAACCCCTGGGCGCTCTCTGGGAATAGCTAACACCCACACCGCCCTTGACTGGGGAAGCCACATGGGCCTCCTCTCCAGAGCTCTCCCCAGCAACTTAGCCCGGTGTCTCTGGGGGTTGCGCCCCTCGCCCCCGGCTAGCCCACACTCTCTTGCCCAAACTAGCSTGCCCGGCCACAATAACAAAACTGATCTTTGGAATTGAAAAGAAGCCTCGGGCTCAGTAGCCAGGGCTGTCCTGGGCACCTAGACTCAGGAAAGGCCTCAGGCCCGACCCCACCGGCTGGCGAACCCTGGCTGCAGACCCCGCGCAGGCTGCGGACCCGGTTGGGCCACCCCCTGTCCCCTTCCCTCCCGCACGTCGGTCTCCTGGGACTATACTAAAGGCTCCTTTCTGCACCAGCGGAAATGCCGATTTCGCTCGACTCAGAGAACAGTTTTCGTTTTTCCCCTACCAGCAGATTTTTTAAGAATCCAATC